ATAGGAATCTATAGTAACAAATTCAACATGCTAGCATTGTTTAAGTATATAGCCTATACATCCTTAAAAACATAAAGACATAATATTAGCATAAGATTCAATTCTTCATACGTTCTTTGAGTAATTATAGAAGCTCTGTTATTAATTAATCAACTTCATTGGCCCAAATTGTACTTTTATTGATCTGATGAAAACGTATTAGCAGCGATTTCACAAAAATCAGTAAATTGTTCTAGTCAAACACGAAATCAGAGAATTTAATATAAACACTATAAAATAAAACGATTGAATTTGTCTGTTGATTCTTTAATTCTCAATCAGACGACGACGAATCAATCTGGCTGCGATTTACTTTTACCTCTTTACGAGTTACCTCACTTTAATTATCCCATTATCATTTCGTCGAGCCGTAATTACCTCGTTAACTCCTAACGAACTCGAACGTCCATAGCGAGAGGCGATTTCATTCCTCCCGATCGATACAACCTCTCGCATCTTTTTTTTCTTCTTTTTGCAGTTAACCAATTTATTTAACCACGCCCATTCTCCCGATTAAAAATAACAATTCGACCATATGCATTCCCATTATCGTCCGACTGTTTTATCTAACCTTCGACGCATTTATAATATGTTTTCATCCCTCTGTTTAATTTCCACTCACTCCCGCTCGTTCCACAATTCTCATATAATCTTTTATCCACGTACATGCGTATTTTAATTGCTTATCTGTTTTTCATAGTATCGTTCCCGATAAAGCTTTCCCTTTAATCAGTCCTCGTATTTGATTGACGGACATCTCGTCGACAATAACAGACAGACGCCATATGTTCATAAGTAAATTTAATAAATTTTTAGCAGAACACTAAAAATGGGATTTTCGAGAAAGCTCTTTGAAATAATGTTTATAAACGCGCTATGTAGCCTGCTTTATTCGGTGATTCAGTGCCTAACGACTCGTGGACGAATCTCTCCTGAACCCCACGAGATCATTTATATCACTTGCTAACAGCATCGTCACGTTCTCTGATAAACTGTCGTACGTCCTAATCGATTTCCCGATTGCCGGGGAGTTAGTTCGTGCACTGTTACGGTCTAACTTGGCCACTTCGCTGAGTGCACGAACTTCCTCTCCTTTAGAGTCGCGCACTGGAAAATGTGACGCGATAAGTAGTGGACAATCAGTTATTCGGAACAGTTAAATAAAATACGCAATATATTCGAGCAGTCGTTTCGTATCTCCGTTGCACAGGCTAGAGTCTGCACACAATCTAATAAAACAATTTTATATATTCAGTGCAGGTTTCTTTGCTTCAGTGCTTTTATTCATAAGAGAGTGCAAATAATATTAGATATTTAAAATATTAAAAATGAAGTCTATATCGTAGTGACTTTATTTTTTGTAAAGTGACGTGATTGCCTTATTTTCGTTGAGGAACATTTCATTCTGGATACAATGCCCCCAATCTTGGGTAAGCGGTGAACGACGAGGCGCGGACGCGGACAATAAGTTTGATTGGACTAACAAATTGTCGCTGGCTCGTCTCGAGTAGGAAGAGGCGACGACGACGTCCAGGCCACTTCTTCGTAATGGCCAATTGTGCGGTCGCCGTGCCGGTCATATCGGCCGGGTGCCTGTCCTAAGTATATAAATAATAAAGTCCGTTCCGGAGATAACCAGTCTTCGCGCATCGATTACCCCCGTTTTGTTTCACTTCGGAAGAAGAACGACCCCTCCTCCGGGACCCGCGTCACTTCCCAGTGGACGATTTAACGTCTCGCGTCGAGTGATCCTCGAGAATTGCGGTTCCGTTTCCCAGGAATATGAAATTTTACGACGACGTCCACCTGTGCCCCTTGGTGAATAATTCAACGACGACGCGGTGAACCGGAGGGCTTCTCGAAACGGTATTAAATGAGGCGGAATTACGTTGGGTCTCACGTGGATCGTGCAATTTGGGTTATCGAGTTCAGCGAGTGCATTGATTCTGCTTTCTTGAGAGACACGGGCCCTGCTTGTTTTTTCCTCGTTTCAATTAGAGACGTACGAACGTGATCAACTGCGCGTGTACCTTCTCTTAACGACGTCGTAAAGAGAGGTATTAACCTTGGGAAGCGAGCCACGTCCACCTGTAATCCTGGCCAACATTTATATATCTTCCTAGCAGAAATTAATATTTTCGTCGGCCTTGACTTTACGGACGTCCTTTTGAGTAGCTAATCTTTCCGTGAGAAAATGTGTTCATCGTGTTTTTTTATTTACCAAGAGAAGGAGTGTTAGTAATTAATTCAGTGGAAAGACATGGTCAGAGTTGTTCGTCGTTTTTCAGCTTTATCGTACCAAAGAAGTGCCTAAAGAAAGTACCAAGGAGAAACGTCTAGAGTCTTCCTTTGCCAAAGAAACGAGAACGATATCTAACTATACACGAAACTAAAGAGTCTATTTTATGTAACGTTTCATGGGTCTCGTACGGAATTGCATCGAGCAGGGAATTAGCTTTAGGCAAACGAAAGTCTACTAAGAAAGGATAATAGAAGCTCGAAGGATTCTCCAGATGAAATTTCGCAAATCTACGGTGTCCAGCCCGAAAATGGAATTGCTGTCGAGGCGATCGTCCAGCGACAGGATGTCGACCCTTAAACGGTCGAGGTCCTTTCGAGCGTCGATGAAGCTGATGTCAAAGCTGCGTACGCACGCGAATTTGCGTTTGAACGTCGGGTTCGACGTGTCCTCGGCGCCGCGCGTCAAGGAACGACCGGATAGACTTTTCTCGGTGCGGGAATCGCCCCCGACGAATATCGTAAACAGGGTCAAAGATCCTTTGAAAAACGACGGTGGCGAAGGCAATAAAAACTCTCCGTCGCCGACCGAGTCGGAGTCCAGCGGGATTGCCCGAGACTTGAAGAGTAAATTATGTCTGAACGACAGGGTAATTGAGAAACGGGAGCAAGGATCTTTTAAGAATCAGGAGAAATCGTCCAAGAGAAATGACGACGTCGCGTCGCCGACGATGACGCATGTATTTCGATGGAGGAGCAACGACGAGAATTCGTCTGCGCCCAAAGGGAGAACGGATGTCTTTTATCCCGGAGAGCACGTTTCCTATGAGAATCCTACTTTTTGCCTGGACAGTTCGCTGGATTCGTCTGTCTCTAGCTTCCTGTTCGAACCGGAGCATTCAGATCACGTTGCGAGGGAAATCGAATGCAAGAACGAAACCTCACCTAAGGAACGTCGTCGAGATGACGTTGGATTAACGATCGTAGTGAACTCCGAGGGACCGAGAGAGGAACGCGTTGGTGGGAAGGAAGACGAAGCGAATTTTGGGCACAGGGACGAATTTCGTCCTTCCTTTACCAATACCAAAGCGAGGAGCCTGTCGGTGAACGACGTTGTCGTTGATGAGGAACCAATCAGTTTGGATTTAAACGCGAGAGTCTGCAGTTTCGACTGGCAGCCTCCTCGTAGCGAGGTCGATCTGAATGTAACGAAGGATCGCGGGGCACCGGAGAAAATTCAAAAATCCTCCTCGGTCTGCTCGTCCAAGTCTTGCAGGATCAGGACCGTCGACAATATCGCGAACTTCTGGACGAACGCCCGTGGCGGCAGCTTTCGCAACAAAGTGTCCGTGAGGAAGAAGCCGGCGAAAGATTCGAGGGAGCAAGGAGACTTCATCGGACGCGATGGGGTTCTCTTTACGACCACGTCTGGATCAAGTACGGACCATTAGACTTTTAATTACATCCGCCGATATTTCATATCGGCCGATCTCCAAGCGATTATTATCAGACTTTCTCAGGCTTTCGATCCCTGAGAACTTATTTTCTGAGAAATGTTCATGCGAGATTATAAAATGTAATTAACACGGTTTTGTACGTGAAAAGGTCAAAGAGAATTCTTTTTCCTCACTGAATCAAAGGAAATAGCAATTCCTTTTTTTTATATTTACTTTTTAAATGTCTTAACTGTTTTAATTGACACCGCGAGGGAACTTCTTGGCGTTTCAATTAAAAGGAAATTGTAGAAAATAAAGGGAAACGGGTTTAGATCGTTGTAGATTGCCTCGCGCCTCGCGTTCAGCTTTCTACAAAGACACGCACTTAATTTCCAAACGCGTTCAGAGATAACGCGATAAATTATTCCGCTCCATGTTGTCGCCTGGCGCAGCAACCCTCTTCAAAGTGGGTTTAATACTGTTGCACAGTCGCTAGAAAAATTTCCCTTAATCCCTTTATTTTTCATACGTTTGCGCGTTCGTGCGATTCATTTAGCTACGCGTAAACGACTCCGTTTCCCATCGATCCTCCTTTTATTCACGTGTATTCAGTTTCTCTCGTTTGTGTTCACGCAGAGCTGTACTCTTTGCAAGGGATGGAGTTCCTGGAGGGTTTCGGGAAGAAAAAGCACCAGGCAAATCAGCAGTCGCACAATTTATCGTCGGTACACGTGAATCCCCTAACGGCACAGTCGCTCAACATACACCTGCATGGTATCTTTTGTTTTCATTTTATTTATTTCATACGATTTAATTTAAAAATTTATTCAACACCAATTTCCTGTTTTCACGATATTTATCGAACACATTTGAATATATATGAAACATTTATTATTTCACGTTGAAGTTTCAGTTCCACTCTATTATAAATTATGTGATTAAAACTTGAAAAGCTGTGAAATTTTCAATTATGTCTAGCCATTGTTAATGCGGGAGCGATTCGCAACAAGCGCGAGTGCTGGCAAAGGCTGGTCGCGATTCGATTTCATTCCTCTTGTTTTTTTTGTTGGGTTCCAGCTCTGTTTGCAGCCGTAGAGCATGGCCACGTGGACAAAGCCAGAACGATTTTGGAATCGACAGACGTGGACGTGAACAGGTGAGCTTTCGATTATATTCCGGTTTTAATGGAACCCGTCACGCCCGTCCCTTTGTTTAATGTTTCCATCGTCGCGAAATTATCCATTATTGTTCGCGGAATAAAAGATACACGCATGTGCATGCCATCTTAATTAAACGTCGTATCGAGGGAAAACGGGCAAAAACAAGACTCGACCGCTTTGTGAATCGTGTAAAGAACGTGGCCGGTGCACGTTGGCCGGGACGAGTGATTCGAGACGTAAAGAACTGGCCAACAGTGGCACTACACGTGATCGTAATGTAGGTTAATTGCTGCTGTTAATTAATTTTACCGACAGCTCCTGAAAACAAGCCAATTAACACCGGATTGAACTCCGGCTAAGACTCTTATCTCGTTTTAATAGTTCGTCCAATTTAATTTTATTTTCTCATACGGAGAATGGACTCAATATTTTTCGTTGTATAACTCGATACCTCGTGGATCGAATTCGGTACACGTTTAAGTAAAAAACTGTTTGAAGCAGTTCGATTTGAATCTTTCGAACCCTCGGCGAGGGAATATATTCAGTTCCGTTTTACGAGCATTCCTTTGATAACAGATGCATTATGCAGCGACGTCGACATTGGGAAATTCGAAAGCGGCACGAATATATCAGCGATAAAGCGGGCCATAGTCCTCGGGAGGGAGGGAGGCGACCGCTTTAAAAATTTACGAGATTTCAGAGTCCGGTCCATTTGTTTCTGGAAAAAGTTCCCCGGCTAACTCGCGACGGTTTAGCGAGAGATGAAGACTCGACTTGCTCGTACAAAGCCCGTCAGGCTGCTTCCCCAACCGGACGTTACCTCGGTTCCTTGGGATACGAATCACCGGGCGAAGTTCGAAATTTTGTTAGCCGGTCTCGAGATATCACGTCCCCGCTTTTACGTTCACTCGTAAATTCCACAATATTTCTGACATTGGACGCACGTGTTGTCAAAAACACCTGCATATAAGAATGTCCATCTAATTTTCCCCAAGATGATTCACCGTACAATTACCTCTATTATCATTTCGTTAAAACGATGAAACTTGACGAAGAATCGATGGACAATTTCCATGTCTGTGTTATCTCAGCTCGTTCAGATTTTAATTAGCTATCAGACAATAAGAATTTTTACGACAGCCATTAAGCTTAGCCTTCGTGAAACTCGATACCGATCGGATCATCGATTATTAATGAAATCTTGCGTCGTTAACCGTCGTCTGCGTTTAATGAAAAGCAGAATGGTAGCCAGGATTCCGTGGAATACATCCTGTTAGCACGGTTTAATTGGCGCCCGATGGCGACGGACTTCTAGTACACATTTCGTCGCGTTCCACTTACACGGACCTTCAGATTGTAATGGTATCGATCCGGGGGACAGAAGGCTCGTTAGAAACTAGCGATTCCCGGCGATAATTAGATTCCCGTTGACTAGATGGACACCGTAGACACGGATGTTCCGCGTCGCGCGACCTTTGCCGCTCGAGCTTTCATCAGAAGTACGTGATTCACTCAATCTATTAGCTCCCTGCGTGTAACGGTTGATGCCCTCTCGGAGAACTGTGTAATTATTTTTCCGTTCTCTACCCTCCAACGCGGTTTTATTACACGGTTATTATATCAAGCTTCGATGCAGTTGGTTCGACTGTTCTATTTTATTTCGTTCTTATGAATTGCGGTGTAAATGAGAAAATCTAAAATGGAATCCAGGGAATTTAATATAACAATACAAGCGTCCGAGCGCTCAAGAACTTTTTCTTTTGTAACTCAAACAAGATCAAGAAACGGGAGAAAAATGTGGAAACGGAAGTTTCTCGTCGGTACGAAGTTTCCAAGAAAAATGTTCCTCCGGAGGGATAGAAATCAGACGGTATTTCAGAATAACTTTACAATTTATTATTACATAATTGGTGCTCGCATTTTTTAATCTACAACGATCTCTTCTTTAATAATAATTGATATATACGGGGTGTTAAAAAAAATTGAGACTAAATTTATAATACGAACTGCCGAGGTCAGATAGATTGAAAAAGTTCTTATTTGATGTACGACAATGCTTTATTGGAAAGATATATGTTTTTAACACTAGAACTGTCAAATCAGTCGAAATGATTGGTTTTGAATAGAGAAATGCATCAACAGCTCTAGTATTAAACATATTTGTGATTTATTGCGATAGTTATAATAATTTTTCGAAAATTCCTCCCTCTGCTATAATGCTAGGTTTCCATTCGTCTTAAATTTTTGGCAGAGATCTTACAGCTCATACAACCTTAAGTTAGGTGACTTAGGGAGCTAACTAAGGAAGTCCGTTGAAGGAATTGTTTATTAAGAAAATCATGTACAGTCCGTCCAAAATGTAGCATCCCATGTATCCATGGTTGCCTCCTAACTGGCGAACTTCTTTCATCTATTTCATGTAATACGTAGTATAGATTTGGTCTCAACTCTTATGAACAGAAAAAGGTATGAATCCATTATGTCTAATGAAACGATTTGGTGTCTGATTTAAAAACGGATAGATCGACGACGAAAGACGTTTAGAGCCAATATAAACGTCTAACGCGTTATCGAACGTCGTAATAATCTGGATTTATGAATTAGTAGTCCCCTTGCACAATCGTCGCTGTCCATTCGCCGCCGTGATAATCCGTTTATCCGCTTCGCTTCTCTTTGTTCACGTTTACTAGTAGCAGTCCGCGAAAGCGCGTTTAGCCAAGAACGAAATTGACGCCGATTAGATCTCGCACAAAAGCTTAATCATGCTGCTTTCCATGTCAACGCCTCTGATTTTCCATCTGTTGTTTGTTCTAATTCAAATCAGATCTATTTCATGATAAATTGTCAAAAATATATTTCTATATCATTTCATTGTATGAACCCTTAGTTAGGTAAAAAAAAATAACAAAGCTGATTATTCTTTAATGAGTGGAGTTAGAAGGAAGTTGCATAGGACCTTTTTTGTATCTGACAATTACTACATACACAGAAAATATAAATAATTCACATACAAAAGAAACTCTTTTTCTTCTAATCTTCTTCGTTTTCTAATCTTTCTTATTCCTCTGTAAATATAATTTTCCTCAAAAGATCAGCGCTTTAAATATTGATCATAGTCCTTTATCATGTTATTAGAGATTTTAGAGCTCATACAATCTAAATAAAGAAGCTTGATATTTGAGGAATATAAAAATAGATTGGCTTCATAATACTAATTCTTATTAGATGCATTGGATTTCCTATAATCACGAAGGAATCTACTAATCATCTTACTGATCCTAATTTCACCCTTTATTTGTTTACCCTTTGAATCTTATATCGGTCAAAGTTGAACACCAGATTTATGAACACGACGAAGCACTTATTCGGATTCAACTCGGGCGATCAATCTTTTCACGCGAGCTGACATAGGTGTTTAAATTGTATTTTCAGCGTGAATAGCGACGGCCTGTCACCCCTGGACGTCGCAGTGCTTAGCAACAATAGGCCGCTGGCAAAAATGCTAGTCGCGTTCGGCGCGCAAGAGGGCAATCAGTGTAAGTATATGCATATCCAACGCAATCAATTACAATTACAAGTTCCATTCGTTAACCACCGGCTTTGTCGATTCCGCGTGCATCCGCTAGCCGCGGGATCGACAAATTTAATCGACGATTTTGCAAAATACACAAAGGGCGAGAATAAACGCGTGTGAGAGGCAAAATGAAATTTGAACGTTTATGAATCTGATATTTTTTTATTGCGCGCACGTATAACACGTAATTAACACACGCTTCGTTGACTTCCGATTTAAAAATGATTTATGAAATAAATAATGTCGTGTTGAAAATATAAGTTCTTGTATGTTTGGTAAAATACGGATTCTTTTTGTTTTTTCTGTAACATTTAAATAAATAGAGCGAATGCGTGCGCGTATATATTTACGGAGAGATATCTTTTGTGTAACGATTGGAAACGAAGTTTTATTTTTTAAATCAATATCATATTTTTTTCTCGCGGCTAACTTCGAAATCGAACGAAGGTCTTTTTGTTGTGTTTTTACAAAAACTGCCCACATAAAACTCCCGGTTGTCCTGTCGTTTAAAAAAAGAAACAATTGTTCCATGAACGGTTTTCGAAAGTCACTTTTCATTTGCACCCGGTCGTAATTGCCTCGTGGCGTTTACGCGACAATACAGTAATCGAGGACAAAAGGGCTGGGAATGAACTGTGAAACGGTGTCCGCGTTTATAAATAGGAGGCAGTTTTAAGTAAGAGTGTATCGAAGAACGGCAACGAGGTCGATCAGGGGAAAAAGAACGGAAATGATTCGGAGTGGACGGGAAAAGGGAGAGATTCCAATTAGGATTCCGTAGTCTACAATAAAAGTGCCGTCGAGGTTTATTGCGTTTCGACTGCGGCGAGACGAAAATAAAATGGGGATGTGCCTCGCCGTGTGTGTATATGAGGAAAGGATATCGGAGAGGACTTTTCACCAACCTTTCCTCTTTCCCTTGACCATTCGCGGATACAATTGCAACCGCAGGATAATTAAACTCTCGATGGGTCGAGAGCCTAAGAGCTTTGCTCATATAAACGCATGACGTCACGCATAAAAAGTCTCCAATTAATGGAACAGTCTATTCAATTAAATTATTTTATCAGATTTTATTTTGCAAATGTGCTTTTATTTTATTATATCCTGCGATTTTTGAAAACTGAGTTGTAACTCTGTTCCTTAAGTAATTTCAGTTAAACATTAAATTATTCTTAAATTTATTCCAAATTAATTTAATAAATTAAATAAATAAATTCCAAATTGATTAGAATAATCAATTCGAAGGAATATAAGAATAATTGATATAGTAAATGATTTTAATTACTCATATGTATGATTCACAAATGATATACCTACCAAATGAAATTCGAAGATACTAATTAAATTTACGGGCAGGACACAATCGTTTCGAATCCGCTTAATGTAGTTCGTTGCTGCGAGGACCTATTGACTCACACACAACAAATTAATATCCTATATCCCTAGTTTACATGGCGATCCCAATTTGCATAAATAAATCTATCGACGAAATCCGTAACGGTTACACGTTTCTCATTAACGGCATCGGTAATACACGGCGGGTTTGCACGGTGGTCATCGCATTCGCGAGCAGGAGAGTTTTCACTCACGGCTGTGGTTAAATCGATCGTCCGACGTTGACGTTTAACGCTATTACGAAATGTAAGCGGTGAGATACTCGGCGCAATCAGGATTACTATTTTCGAAACGAGACTTGGAAGCTTTGAACTCCGAATTGTTAAACCATGGAAATCCAGCCTGCTGATTGAATGTCATGAAGTTTCCCAGAATAATTTACATGTACTTCAAATTTCCCTTCTTGTGTGGTAATTCCATTTTGAAACTTAGATTCTGGTTTAAATTAAATAATCCAATAACAGTATAATCGTTTTATTATTATATTACTATTACACTTAAAGACATAGTTTATAATGTTTAATACATTAGCTCTTTATCTTTTCATAACGTGTTTTGTATTAATTTTGTGCTCCTTATAAAGGCTCTTTATAAAGGCTCCTTTGTTCTCTTCATAAATTGTGTCGCAAAAGTGAAATACATAATAGGTATAGCTGTTGTATTGAATTAAGATTGTATGAACAATAACTACATAAAAACAATGACAGAGCATTGAAATTTTAACAGTTACTAGATATTTCTTTAATAATTTTTTATTAACATTTATCTGCTTAATTTGAACATATATAGTTTGCATATGAAACAAAAACTAAAAACAATTATTAATATTTTTAATAAGTCTTGGCTAGCATGATATGTGCTGGCATTAAAATCTCTTCTTTCTTCCTGCCATTTCTTAGAAAAATCAAAATCCAATGAACGTTCCTAAATTTTTATTGGTTTCTTCATCGATCATTGAATGCTTAATTAAAAAGTTTGATGGCTCGAAGAAAGTTTACGCTATTGGTATTCCGCAAGCTGGTTCTTATAAAAACGGTGTCGAAAGTTGTAAAACAATCCCTTCGGTGGTAGTGCGTGTATAGAAAGTGGAAATCGATACCGGGTGCGGATAGAATCGAGGTGGAATCGGGTGGCGATCTCAGCCGCAACTGTCGCACCCGGATACACTTTTACCGCAGATTTTTCATTCACAAATATCAGGAACAAGTGAATCGGTCCAATCAGCGTTTTTTCCCGCTCTCTGTTACCTCGAAATTATCCGATGATTAGCACAATTCAGTCACACGTTTCTTCTGCCAGTAAAAATGCTCTTCGAATTGTTAGTTAAACAACTTTCCATAACAAATTCCATTCATAACGTTTTATAAAAATTCTAAGTCAAATCGAAACATTTTTTATCTAACTCTATTTCCTTAAATAAGTTTCCTTTAAAATACTGGGTAATATAAATTGTATAATCCACGCGATGTTAAATCATGACGAGGGATGTATTACAGTGATTGAATGCAAAATATTTTGACTTGGTTGCGTAGTTAAATCTCCGGAGTCCCTGGGCAGTCATTTGGCTTCGTTGCTGTCGGAGGCGGAACACAGAGTTCAAGAACTCGGCGGTAGCAGTTCCGGTAGCGGGGGTTCCACCCTTCTCGAGCCACCGAGCAGTCATAGATCAAGTTTTTCATCCCAGCATAATAATCTCACGGGATGCGGCGGTAGCGCCGAGGACAAGCAGCTGGCCCTTTGGGAGAGAAGAGCCAGGGCGCTCAGGAAAATGTTGCTCGGGTTCGATCAAGCGAGTAAGCTTTACAGAAATACATATTTATACTCCCATGCGTCGAAACATTCATACTCGATGTACGAATAAATTTGTATAATGTATTCGACGGTAAATTCCTTAGCAGTTAGTCCACTGGTGTTTCTTTGTATTTTTTAAATTAAAAAATATGCGTCCTTAAATAAAAAGTGAATTTTTCCCTAGGGCCACCAGACATGCCCTTCCTAGTCGCGGTGGACGTTACAGGGACGAATTCTGTAACGATGAGGTTCCAGGAACCGGATTCGCACGACTCGCCCATCTGCACGAAATTCAAAGTTCAGTGGAGCACCAAAGAGGATTTCTCAGCGATCTGCGGCGAGCGAGAGGTGTTAGATATGAAGCAACGCGAGTGTAGAATCGACGATCTTATCCAGGGGCAGAAGTACTATTTCCGAGCCGCTGCTGGAAACCTGAAGGGCTACAGCAGATTTAGGAACTCTACGCCCGCCCACGTGACGCCTAGCAGTAAGATCGCCTTGAATTCCTTCAATTTGATCACGAACATTACATTAGATGAAATCGTAAACGAGAAGAAATTGCTACGTCAAAGTTGTTACAATTTTATTCAGTGTTCGGATCTGATCTACGACTCAGATCACGTCCGGATTTCGCTCGGTCGCGTATCGAATTAGGAGTCAAATTTAAAGCTCGCATCTCGCACGTCCCGATTGTTACGTCAGCAACTGTTTATCGTCCGTTTCTCCCGAATGAAACGACGGAACGCAGTCACGGACAATAATAAGACGTGCAAATCGTGTTGTTCCAGGCTGGAGGGACATCGATGGCAGGCTGCCAAGGTTTGCCGGCCGATTGGAACAATTGAACACCCTGTTCACGGACATAAGGCGGCCGGAGTACACCCAAGAGACACCGGCCGTTCAGAGGCGGAATCACAAAAAGAAGACGACGATAAAGCAGCTGTTCACGGCCACCAGCAAGTTCCAGAAGAATTTGAGACGCGGCGTGTTCCTCGCCTGTTTACTCTACCACGAGGACAAAGTGTTGGTCACCAACGAGGATTTCTTGCCTGTGATCGAGATCGACGAGACTTATCCTAGTTGTATTTACAATGACTTCCACTGGCTGATGAAAGTCGCTTGCACCTGGGACGACGTCAAGGTCCTCAGACAGGACATGGAGAAGAGCCACAGCAGCTCCACGAATCATTTCAGGATAAAACTCCTGCAGGCTGCCGCGCAAATGCAGGTCCGTCTCACATGAGTAATAACAGATTTTAACGGGTAGAATGAACTAAAAATGATTGTCGGATTTTTCTAGGCGGCGTTGTGCATACAGGATCTTGGCCAACTGTACCATAAACCCATCAGAGACGTCCAAGGCACTCTGGTCTTCTCTACAGTGAATTATATAAAATCTCCAAAGTTGATCTCCGTATTGAACAGCAGATGGTTGCCGCTGAGTAAGGTAACGAAGAAGGTGATCACACATGAGGACAGCAACGTGGCAGACATTCTGATCGCCAGTATACAAGAGCAGATGACTTATCATCAACTCAGCAGTATAAAATTGTCAAAGGGACTTTATCTTGGTTATCTAAAAATGCAGAGCAGCGTAGATTTGATACAACTCGTGGTACCAGCAAAGTCGCCGAACGTTCTGCCTCACTGCAAGATTCGAGACAACCCGCATGTCTCTGCGTAAGTAATCGTCCTTTTATCAACAATTAATTAGATCTACAAAATTCTCTAAATATGTATTTGTCACCACAGCGAAGAATGGGATTATCTGAAGAGGATAACTCGTCTGTACGCGTCGGAAGCTTCGGTAAAGGACAGCGAGGAGAAGGAGAACGTGACGAACGAGGGCACGGAACAGCAGAAATTGTTCGTCGATCTGGTCGCGGCTACGTCGAGGCGGTTGTTCAATTACATGGAGATCAGTCACGACGATTCGTTGGTCCATCGGCTCTACGACGCCGAAGTAATCGACCTCAGTCACGACGTGTCTTTCTTGATAGCCGTGCCTCCGGCAGAAACTGCCTGTTGTGTGCCCGGAACCAGGGAGATCCTCCTTCAACGTGGTGACCTCTTATCGTTGCCTATCCAAGTATTCGAAATGGTCCACCTGAATACCTATCAGAAAGAGGTGATAAATAGATACTCAAGATTGAGTTGCATCTTGGAATTAGACACGGCACAAGCTCAGTACAACCACAGAGAAGCTTTCAGCTCGCTGGAGTTGAGCGTAGCGAAAGACAAGTTAGCCAGGTTGCAGGAGCTCCAGAGTCAAGTGAACACCGTGTGGAAGGGAGCCAGATGGCTAATAGACGTGATCACGTTTGCGAGGGATCGTGGATCATCTCAGCAAGTAAGTTCGACTGTTGTCCAATATTGTTAAAATAATTTCAGAATGAGACATTAAACGATGTTCGTGATCGACAGGTGTCATCGCAGACGGTTGGAATTTCCATGAAACACTTGCTCAGCTTAGACAGGAACAAGAGCAACAGCAACAGCAACAGTCTAAAGAGGAGTTTATTACAGCTACCACCTCGCGATCCTAAGCTTGTGAAGTCTAGTCCGGGTAGAGGCAGCTGGCCAGGGCCTAACGTGACCAATTCCTCGTCGAACCTTCTCACCACCGAATTCAGCAAGAGCGAACAGCAATTGCCCAGTGGTCAATACGTTCGTAAAGGTAGTAACACCTCGAACGTGTCGACCGGCTCAGAACCACCGAAATCCTCTGTGCCAATGAGCAGCATTAGTAATCTCAGCAACGCCACCAGCACTGGCAGCAACAATCACTTGATTCCTTTACAAAACACGAGATTACCACCCTCCAAGTCCGAGGACACTTTGATTCTGACCAAGTACAAGCACAGCCCGAGAAACAGGTCGGCCACGATTACATCGGCGTCGGCCAGTACAAGTCCCTTGCTCAGCATAAAACCGATGATCTACGGTGGCTCGCTTCTCAGCGTGTCCACCGCCATGACGAACACGACCAGCTTGCTAAGCGTCAGCAACACCAATTCCGACAGCCTGCACTCGTTAAGCAGCGACGAGTATTCGACGCCTAACTCAAGCGTTTGTATAAAAAGCAGCCACGTCAAAAGCAAATCATCCAAGCCTACGGCCAGTGTGGCAGCTATGGCCACCGGATCTCTGGAAAGTCAATTGGAAGAGGAGAAGGACGAGGCAACGTTGATGCCAGCTCCGTTGCCTGGTATTCTCCAGGTAATTATTTGCCTTCAGTCTAAACCGGTAATTTGGTAAATGGATACAGTTACTAAAGATATATACGGGTCATGAAAGAAGAAACGTATATTAGTAACAGTTGTGTTGTCATAGTTGCCTAGTATTTTTCGACCGAGTAGTAATTACGAGCTACGATTATAATGATCTGGGATTGATTAACAAGTTGCGTCTCGTGGTTTTTCGTTTGACAAGGAATTATCCCTTGCGTAAACGTCATTAGAGAATAAAGAAGACGATTCCGTCGGCCGCAAAACCTTGCCGTTACACCATCGTTGAGTTTAAATAATATTTTTCCTTGTAGGGAACACAAGTCTAACCCGATTCTAATTAAAAACGGCTCAGTTGGTCTTCTAGTGCAGACCGTTGTAGCAGAAATTATGAGTAAGCCGTCATCCAAAACGCAAACGCTTGAGCGCTTTCGAAATTTTTGCTTTTCATGTATTTATCAATCTAGCATAGCATGAAATTTCGTCTGTTTTCAAATCGTGCAATAAAATAATCTCAATCGATTTATAACAATTTATAAATTGTATTTACATTTTAATCTTCGCAATTCTCGTAATTTTTTTCTTTCTTAAATAAATCATAATCGAGGAGAATTATATATCTTTAATCTGAATGTTTCGTATTATAATACTGTGTGTCTTTACTTCAGTACACTGTTAATCGTGTTAGTAAATTAATTAAAATATCTGTCGATTTGATCATTTTCATAGTCGTGATTAACAGTGTGTTTAGCATTAAGCGAGCAATCTTTTTTTTTATTAATTCTCATTGGGCTCGTTCACCGTTTTACCTGTTAATCTTACTATTAATTTATTATTCGTCATGAAAGAAGAGTGGATGCATCGAGCAACGTGCTGTCAGCTGAATGTCACTGCATATGCATCGATTTCACGTGGATTTTACGATCTCTCTTTTTGTCCGATCCGCGATCAAGTGTTATACGATGTCTAATCGAGGAATCGACGTGTCTTTGCAGGTTTACGCGGCCTATGAGACCGGCCTGGCTTCTGGTACCAGCCTGAAGCTACATGTCACCCCGAGAACCACGGCCAGGGAAGTCGTCAACCTGGTTGTCAAGCAGTTAAATATGGCCGTGGTGTTGAAGGGCCAGGAGGGACCGATCTACACCGCTGACGAGTTACCGAACTTCTGTCTGGTCGCTGTGATCGGCGCCCGGGAGCGTTGCCTCAGGGACGACTTCAAGCTGCTTCAACTACAGAACCCGTGGAAAAAGGGCAGGCTATACGTGAGACAGAAACAAGACGTCCTCGCGGCCCTCGAGCACAGCAGCAAGCACACCGCGTATTTGTAGCATAAGCAACCGGGATTTAATTAGATGAAAACAAGAAATATTATTTGAAATAAGGGAAATTGATAAAAAAAAATAATCTTCATCGCGGTTGACTATGTCCGCCAGTATGAAGAACGCCGCGTATCGTTATAACGATTGGCGATAGAAGCCAAAGATTACATAGTTGAATGCATTCCGTACCCCGAATTTCACGTCAAGATAGAAATAGCAATTTTTTTTGTTTGCGTAAGAAATTATCTTTTCTTTTTTGTTTCTTTTCTAATACAAAGTGGGATGTATAGATCTTTAGTCGTTCACGGGGTACAGAATTTATACAGGTGTACATAAAGACAAACGCTTGGCTGTACGAGGAAGACTTTTAGTCGTACTATCTTCTCGAGGCTCTAAATAAGCTACCGCGTAATTAAATAGCGGAGCGAAAGGGAAGGAGGACTATCGTCCGGGAGAATGGAGAAATGAAAACATCAATTATAATACATTTAGCCGAGAACCCCATCCGAGTACATTCCAACAGGAGTTTTTTCGATTCGACTACGAGCCGTAATAGTTGCTGAGGGGCGAATAATACTCAAGGTATATTGTACTGTTATACATATATTTTAGGTACCGATCTCAGTGTTTTACTCGATATAAGCGTCACTGGATGTGAAATGCTTAAGAGATCTCGTTGTCCCAATTGCGTTCGATGTGTCCAAACATTACCTCGAATAAGACCTTCCTTTCCCTCCACGTCCTTAACTATGCGATTTTTAGATGTTCTTTATTTGTATAAAAGTGTTTCATTAAATTATATGCCCATTCGGACTCAGACCGTAGGAGTTATTAAGAATTAAGATCGTGGACACATCGAATAAAAAGAAACTAGAGCATAAACTATTTCAACGATAGAAGAAATTTTATATTTATATTTTTAAATTCACTTGACCATCTGTGGATTTATTTTAACACGAGCTTGCACGGGCCATTGTTATCAGACTCGGCAAATCGAAATTTATTCTCGCACGATCAAGTTTCCGCCGAGTCTGTTAACACCGCGTCCGCATTAAAATAAATGAGAAAAAGATTCCTGTCCGTTGGTTTCTTCTTTTTGTCCGCGAACGATGGGAACAATGAAAGGTGTCCTGACCCATTCAACGGAGAGGAGTGATTCACTTGAGGTGCTTAATTAAATAAAATAGAGAAACAGCGGCTAGGGCAGTGGTAGGCGAGAAACGTGATCCAGAATAAAAGAGGCTTATAGACTGTTTGCGTAGAGATAAACGAACGAGTATTACTAATGGTTATTAAGATTTTTATTCGAAATCGACACGGTGAAGTGTACTACGTAAATTGCATAACTGTAGTCGCGGGAACATTTTCCTTACGTCCATCCTTGAACACGCGATGAGTCGGTGTACATTTTATTACTGCGAGGCATCTCAGTCTCTGTTGTTCAAGTAAAATTCTGTTGTTCGTCGAGGGAAGGAGTGTGTGATATATTTCTCATGTACGAAACTGTTTTCTCCGTCGGACGAGTGTATTTAATTATTATTTATCGTTGTTCCGTTGACGAGGGAGCGCGCGACGAATCCGATGGTGTTTGAGACGTATTGATAAGGAACGTTTTATTTTTATGGAATTCACTCTCGAGGACTTCCTGATAAGCGACTTAGACGCATTGGTGATAAACGTGGTGCAGAGTCGATTGTAAAATACACCCTGATTACGTGATACCATTGTTCGATACCTGCCGCACATTTGAAACGCGGTTAATACGACGTTTGTGTAACCGAACTTCGATGAATTTAATTAGCTATGATAGAGAGGAAAATTAAGATTTTGTTAATCGAAAAATGTGTTGAGATCCGTCCTTGATCATAATCGAAAACGCAAAATTCGACTCGCGTGAGAACCGGCCGAACAGTGGTATCGTCGTGGGGCCACCTTAGTTTAAAAGCATACAACGCGCATATTTTTTTATCGAAGAAACAAAGGGAGATAGAGTGGATGTTTGAACAAAGAAAAAATGTAAGATTTTTACTATATTTTACCAGAGTGCGTACTTGTCGCAGGCGTAATATTTAACGTGATCGGTACGCATTTTTAAAGAGGGATACGAAAAATCTATCGGCGCGTAAATCAATGTGAACGAATTAATAAGACGTTGGACAAGAGACGCAGGCAGAGATCCGAACAACAACATAAACAAAACGCTAGAAAATTTAATTAGCTGAGTGTTTATCAATGTTGAGTGTAAAATAATCACAATTAGCAGTTAAGTGTTATCGCGGGAGGGTAAGTGAGACTCGAGACGGGCTCTGGTTTTCCCCTCCCCCTTGATCGGAGGAGTCCCATACAGAAAAATGATTATGAATTAAGCGGGGAGGACGAACTACTTGTAAATATTCAAAGAAATCTATGTATGTATAAAATATAAATAAGAATTATCGAGAGAAGCCGAAGTCGATTATTATCCGCCACGAGAAACATCAGACTCTTATCTAGACTAGAACGAAAGGAATCGCGCCTCGTTTATGGATAAAAATTAATATCTAATTAATATCGAAAGTTACTTTAGTTATTATAAATTACTCGTCGTGTTTGACAGTTTTAAAAAATACAGTCAGTTCGATACCATGTAATTTGTTTAGATAAATGTGGTTTACTGGATTGGTGTGTAACTATATTTATGTTAATTCGTTCACACGACGGGTGAGTAGGTTTTATTTCATTAGCGACGAACGAGCTGTAGCCTCCGGTGAGGCGAGAAGAGAAACGAACCCGGACTCTCGACGACCGAGAGTCCCGGTGACCCCCTTCCGTCTTGTTTCTCGTCTCATCTCGTCATGCCCACCTACTCCTTATTTATCCCCCACCTGGAGCAATTGTGCTCTCCGGTCTTCCGGCTAGTTCCCAAGAGGAGATCCGTGGTAATGAAAAACAGCCGGGGTATCCCCTCCGCGTGGTCGCTCTCCACGATGCACCTCTCATGGGTCAGCCAACTTCTTCTCAAACGCCGACACGAATTTTCCTCCTGGCATTTTAATGATCCCGAGCCTGATATTAAAATCAGCAATACAGTTACTTTAATCAAAAAGTAGGTACAGATAGTAAACTTGAAAATCAGTGTATTTCATAATTAAATGTTTTCATGTTTGAAACGATTCTGGGTATTAATATTTATGGCAGAATCATGGAATTTATTGACCATCTCTTAAAGGATGTGTTAATATGGAGAGCACAATTTAATCGGCAACAGTTTGGAGTCCTTTGGAATTATGGTACGGCTTAATTCCAGTGGTGTTGCGAGATAGAATCAGGAGGAACAAAAGGCGGGTAGATTAACCTCGGATTCATTAATCACAGTCACAATCGCTACGCGATAAAGAGCGACCGCTACGCGGCTCGTAGCCGGAAGCCCGGTACCGTATGCACGATGCTGAGAGTTCAGTTCACCGGTGAATCGAATCGCGTTCATAACCCGCAGTAATGAAATCCTGCTTTATTTACTGCTCCTTGCCCTCTTTCTTGACCGCGCATAAAATCCCAGTAATTATTCTCGATGTTAATGAGAACGGCAATTCGTTTTTCATCAACGACTTTGACGCGGTCGTAAACCCTTTTGGAATTAGGAAAATAATTTGAAATCATTGTTGCCTATTAAGAAATTTATAATGAAGTTAAATTAGTTTAAATCTAATCATATTTTATATTTTTTTTTTATTAGAGTTACCGTGAGATATTTGTCAACGGTAGTTGCAGTAGTTTTACTCTCGAATACCGCATACTGTATGTAACTTGAAATTCGTAGTGTGTACCGCGAATTTGGTTTTGTGGGTGCATATACAGTTAATAGTCATTGTCAGGAGGACGGGGCCGTACGAGAGGCGATTGGTTGACCCGCAGTCTGGATTCGCCCTCGGCTGACCCCGTTGTTAACTGACCCACTGACGTTACTGATAGCGGGATACCTACCTTGGTTTTACCTCGCTCTTTCGTCCACCCGTTCCCTCGCTCGCTCGGCTCTACGCCTCCAATTTCGTCTCGACGAGTTCTGTAATTTTTTTTTCATTTTCTTGACTTTCACCTTGTTTAACTAAAAATTCACTTCTTCAATTCAATGATTAATTATTTAAATATGCATTCTTTTAAGTTGTGTATAAATGCAGTTAATTATAAATTATTTTTATTACCTAGATTTTTTCATCCCTTGAGATTGTATGAACCGTAAGATTACATGTCCTATAATTCTTACTTCTGCCTTCTTTTTATTGTATATTTTAAATTGACATCATTTCAACTTTAAAATATTCTTAAACCATATATTAAGAATTATACAAAATTAAAATTTCTCTCATTGTTGCA